GCCGTGGTGAGGCAGGGAGGAATCCCGCCCGCGGGACGGCCCGCGTCAACGGGGACCTCTCCGCGGAGCTTCCGAGCCGGGGCGCCGGGCCGAGGAAGAGCGGAGCCGGAGGCGCTCGGCCAGGCGCCGGCCCGAGGACCCCCGCGGGACCCTAGCGCTGCGCCGGCCGCCCCGACTGTGACAGAGGCCGGCCTGCGCCAGGCTTCAGGGGCGGGAGGTGAGCGGGGGCCGCCGCGAGGGCCGGCTCTGCCCCGGAAGTGTCAGTTCAGCGGAGGGTTTGAGAGTCTAGTCTGGGGCAGAGAAATGCCCCCACCGCTAAGACAGATTGTATCTCGAGCCCTAACAGCTGTGGACTCCGTTGACCGGTCTGCACTGTGTCCGGATCCCAAGGTGCCCTCACACCATGCCCCTTACCGCGGGTGGTCTTGAGAGATGGGGGCGCCTCTTGCATCCCATGTGCAAACTCAGAAAGAAGGGCAGGAAGGAGCCTCCTGGATTACCTGTTTGTGCCTAACATGACAGATGAAAACCGCTGAGCTCCAGAGGGTGAATGTCCCAGTCGCCCTATTCATCAGTGCCCTGGCCAGTAGTTGGGTTTTCGGACAACTATCAAAAACCTGAGAAACCACTGCCAAGGTCGTTAAGAGCCGAATGACAGTCTCCTCCAGGAGGACATTTTATGCACCTGTCCTGTAGAACTTCATAGGCAGGAGGTCCAAGGCAGGTCAGGTCTCTTGTGATCCATTCTTTCTTTCTTCTCCCCCAGCTCCACCTTCCTGGTTCTCTACAGGTTTCCTAGAGCAGCAGAAAATAAGCCGATCTCAGGTGAATTGTTTACTTTTTATTTCCTACTCTGTTTATAATGTCTTAGGTTAGAATGGAAATGTAGAAATAGATGAAAATCAAGCTCAGGGAAAATATACAAGAGCACATCGAGAAATAGGTAGGTTCCGTGATCTTTCAGTAAATTTGTGCGATCTTTCTGATGGTCATAGCAAAAATTCAGATGTTCTCTGTTATGTGGTGTTCACTGGCCGTTGAAAGAAACCATCAAGAATTCCTCATGAGACATTAAGAGTTCTTAGCAACGGAGTCTAAAACTCTGATCTTCCTGATCTTCCTGCAGGTGCCACAGTAAGTCGTCCTTCCGCGACTCCCGGAAATCAGTGCGGCCTGCTGCGTGTAGCGCTCGTCAGGGCAAGCAGACCATTTGTGCCAAAGGAGACCGAAACAGCCTGGTCCCCTAGACCCCTTTCTGATGGTCCCGCTTGATCCAGGCACCAAACCTGGCATATCTGTAAGAAAGAATAGATTCAGATAAAGTCCTTAAAGATTGTGTATAGATGGTACGTACGGCTGATAGGTTAAAGATGTATTTTCTGGCAAATGTCTCCCCATCTCCCTTTCACATTTCCTACCACATCACTTGCTGGATCTGTCTGGTCAGGGACTCCAGTGATCTTATTATGGCAGATGTCGTGGATCTTTAGTGCTTGCCTTCCATGAGCCTTCTATCCAGCTGACAATGTCCAGTCTCTCCTAGAATGTCTTCTCGGTTGGCTTCTGGTCTGTTCCTCCCTCGGTGATGATTTCTTTTCTGTCTTCTCCACGGAGTGGCCGTCGTCTTCCTGCCTGTCGTCATCGCTGCTTCCCGGGTGTCCATTCTTGCTCTCTTATTGTCCTCACTCTCGTGCTCTTGCTGGTTCTCCTCTCCTCTCTGGGGTTGCACCTGTCCTCTCCTGTCTGTGGATGCACTACTTGCTGGGATGCTTGTCCCTGGTGCTCCAGCCCGGACCTTTCCCTTACCTTAGACCCTAATCGCCAACCCTCTGCTTGACATCTTTTCCAAAGGCCGCTCAAACTCCACAGGTCCCAAGGGAGAGTCGTTATTTACGGCCCTCCTATGGAATATTATCATCATCCAGCAGGAAGTTCACTGCTATCCTTTAAGTGTTGGGACTTTCGAATTGTTAATATTTCTGTCTGTCTTTGCAGTTGAGGTAAAGAGCACAAATCCTAAGTGCACAGCTTGATGAATTTTCATACGCTATGTACCTGAATAGCTATCACGGTGATCAAGATAGGGGCATTTTTTTAACTGCTAGAGACTGCCTTGTGTTCTCTCCAAGCCTACACTTGCACCCTCTAACCAGAGGTAACCATTATTTTGATTTCTATCATCATGTATTAGTTTTGTCTGATTTTAACCTTCATGTACATAGAATCATGCAATATGTATTCTTTTGTGTCTGACTTCTTTTATTCAACATTATGTCTGTGAGATCACCCATGCTGTTACATGTAGCGGTAATTTGCTTTTTTTCCCATTGCATGAAATATGTGACAGTTTACCATTTCTGCTCTGTGTGCACATTTGGGCTGTTTCTAATTCTGGCTTTTGTACATGCCTTTTGGTGTATGTGCACACTTGGTTTCTGAGGGGTAGAAATCCGGGAGTGGAATGAATGGGGCATAGCACGTGAATGTGTTTAGATTTGATAGATCCTGCCAAACAGTTTTGCAAAGTAGTTGTACCCCTTGACACTCCGGCAGCCAGGTGTGTGAGGTCCTGTCCCACCACAGCCCGGTAATCACTTGTATTGTTAGTGATGTTGTATTTTGTTTTGCTTTTTTAGTATTATGTGGGTGAGTGTCGTGGTGTCTCATTGTATATGTGTGTGTTGTTTTTTCTTTGGTGGCTGTCCGGTAAGGCAACCCAATCCCTGACCATGATGTTGTAACACTGCACTGTAAGCAGGTGAGCTAATTGAGCTAATTGAACTCCCTCACTGTGGTTTTGATTTGCGTTTCTCTATTGACTGATGATGTTGAGCATCTTTTCATGTTTCCTGACAATTTTAGTATCTTTTTTTTGAAGTGCATGGTACAGTCTTGCTCAGTAAAATAAAAAGTAAGTTTGCCGCTGCCATATTATCTTGTAGGAATTCTTTCTGTTTTATATATGAGACCTTTTCCAGATATATGTACTGCAAATATCTTTGTGATTCTGAGGCTTCTTCTGAATTTAATGAAGTCCAATTTATCAACATTTTCTTTTATAGTTAGTGTTCTCTGTGTTTATCTTTGCTTATCTCAAAGTCATAAAGGAATTCCCTACGTTTGCTTCAAAAAGCTTGAATTGTTTTAGATTTCACATTTCAGTCTATAATTCATCTCAAATTATTTTATACAGACACACACACACATATATTTTTTGATATGAGCTGTCCAGTTCCCGCAGTACCATTTATTGAAAAGACCTTTCTTTTCCAACTAAATTGCAGTGTCTTTGTTGAAAGTCAGGTGACCAAATATGAGGATGTTTCAAAAAGTTTGTGGAAAAATTGAATTAAGGGCCGGCCCGTGGCTCACTCGGGAGAGTGCGGTGCTGATAACACCAAGGCCCCGGGTTCGGATCCCATATAGGGATGGCCGGTTTGCTCACTGGGTGAGCATGGTGCTGACAACACCAAGTCAAGGGTTAAGATCCCCTTACCAGTCATCTTTAAAAAAAAAAAGAAAGAAAGAAAAATTGAATTAAAAGTTAATCCAAATCATTCCATGAACTTTTGAAGATGCCTTGAATGTGAGTATATCTTTTGGGATTCTCAGTTCTGTTGCAGTTGTTTCTTTGTCAAGCCTTGTGCCAATACCAACTCTGTACCTATTATTGTAGCTTTATAAAACGTAGTTATATCTTTGGGTGTAAGTTCTCAACCCTTGTTCTTCTAGATTGCCTTTGCTACCTTAAGTCCTTTATATTCTGTATGAATTTTATAATCATCTTGTCAACCCCCTTCCCTGCGCCTATCCCCAATCTGCTGGAATTTGCATTAAATCTATAGATTGATTTTGGAGAATGGTGATTTTTTTTTTTTTTTAAAGATGACTGGTAAGGGGATCTTAACCCTTGACTTGGTGTTGTCAGCACCTCGCTCACCCAGTGAGCAAACCGGCCATATGTATATGGGATCCGAACCCGTGGCCTTGGTGTTATGAGCACCGCACTCTCCCGAGTGAGCCACAGGCCGGCCCCTGGAGAATGGTGATATTAATACTAACTTTTTCAGCTCACAAACATGGCATGTCTCTCAATTTACTTAGGTGTTGTTTAACTTTTCTCAGCAATGTTGGATAATTTTCTGTTTGGATGTCTTATACTTCTTTTGTTAGATTTATCTCTGGGTATTTGACAATTTTTCTCCATTTGGGTGTTGCTAGTATATAGAAATATAGTTGGCTATTGTATATTGAACTTGTATCCATTGACCTCACCATTTATTAACTATAATATTTTATATGTAGATTATTTTAGATTTTTTATCTACAGAATTATGTTTATGGAAATTTCTTCTTTCTTAGTCCTTAAACTTTTCTTTCTTTTTTTCTTTGTCGCAGTCGCTAGGAGGTTAATGTTCCACCAAGTATAGGTTGAGTATTTCTTATCTGAAATAGTTGGACAAGAAGTGTTTTGGATTTGGTATTTTTTCTGATTTTGGAATATTTGTATTACAGGTTTAGCACGTAAAAAATTCTGAAATCTGAAATGCTCTGTATTAGTCAGGGATCTCCAGAGAGACAGAATCAATAGGATATGTTATAATTACATGAGAGAGATTTATTAGGTGAATTAGCTCATGTAATTATGAATAAAAGTCCCACAATAGGCTGTCTATAAACTGGATGCCAATAGCTTGACTCAGTCCAAGTCCAAAGGCCTCAAAACTAGGGAAGCTGATGGTGTTTTTGATGTAAGTTCTGGAACCCAAAAGCTGAAGAGCCTTGAGCTCTGATGTCCATGGACAGGAGAGAAGAGTGTATCCCAGCTCCAGCAGATCGAGAGAGAGCTTCACCTTTTTCTTCTGTCTTTTGTTCTCTCTGGAACTCCAGTGGATTGGATGGTTCCCATCCACACTGAGGGTGGGTCCTTCCCACCCAGTCCACTCAGACTCTCATACTAATCTCTGCTGGAAACACCCTCACGAACACACTTAAAAGATAGCTTTACCAGGTTTCTCAGCATTCCTTCATATAACCAAGTTGACACCTAGAATTAACCTTCATATGCTCCAATGAGTATTTTCAAATTTGTTTTTTTTTTTTTTTTTTTTTAAAGATGACCGGTAAGGGGATCTCAACCCTTGGCTTGGTGTTGTCAGCACCACGCTCAGCCAGTGAGCAAACTGGCCATCCCTATATAGGATCTGAACCCACGGCCTTGGTGTTATCAGCACCGCACTCTCCCGAGTGAGCCACGGGCCGGCCCATAATGTTTTGATTTTCAAATGTGAAACCAGCCTCTTTTCCAGGGGAAAAAGTCACATTTTTTATTGATGTTCTATCCTTTATAAATTCATGATAAATTGTTTAGGAGTTTTGTGTCTTTGTTCTTGAGAGCGACTGTTACTTTCCTTTCCTATGATGTCTTTGGCAAGTTTTATATTTTATGCTGGCATCAAGAAACCTGTTAAGTGTTTCTTCTTTGTCTGTTCTCTGGAAGTGTTTGTGTAAGATTGGTATTATTTATTCTTTAATTCTCTAGTAAAAAATCCACCAGTGAATTTATCTAGGGTCTGGATTTTCTTCATGGAAAGTTTTTAAATTATTGCTTTAATTTCTTTGTGTTAGGGAAATTATTCTTTAGAACATGATACAAATTATAGTTGTTTCTTCCTAGTTTTTCATTTGTCATCCTCAGGTGGGTGGCATGTGGTGTTTGTTTTAGGGCAAAGTCATGTTCATACGTACCACTTCAAATAACCTCAGTCACACTGAAGGTTTTTCATCGTTGGCTTTGCTTTCTATCTCTGTATCTCCAAGGTCGA